CAGAAATACGGAAGCAGCAAGCCACGAAGCCAACTGGATATCCACTGTCAAGGTCAAGTAGCAGCTCATAGGCGTCAGGAGCTACAGACGCCCAGCCTCAATGTCAACGGGCGTTTCGTGCTCGGACCGGCGTTGTCGGACATTTTCGGACCCAATGCACTGGCAAGACAACTGCACTTGCGGTTTCGGAAAACGCTTCCTCCGTAAGGCAGCTATCTTAAGGTTCACAACGGCGACCGCCACCACTACCGATGCGCAATATCCCGATGCCCCATCACCCATTACAATCGCCAACCCCATCCCTTCGACAAACAATGCGGACCCCGTCCGAAAACTACCCACAACCAACTCTCCCCGGCATTAGCGTCACCAACACTCCTAACATTCTCATCACTGACTCAGAAACTGCCGAACTACCCTGTCCATATTGCCACCGCATATTTACATCCCGCAGGGGTCTAGTCGGTCATTCGCTTGCAGATCCATCACACTGAGACTATCGGACCAGCGCCGGGAGTACCAATACACAACCGCGTGGGCCTAGTCGGTTATAAGCAACTCCACGATCCATGGTAGCGCACCACAGCCTAAACTCCATCAAAACCTCGCACAAACCTGTCCGCCACACGGGCAGAACGTGAAACCCCTGTCAGTGGGAAGCATGCTACCTGACAAGATTGTGTGACACGTAGACGGCTGTTTAGCTCCGCTAGCCACATTTGCCCAATCCCCGCATTAAATGGCTTACAAGCCAAGACAATCGGCTGGTGAGTGAGAATGATGTCGACTCTGAAGACTGTCCCCATGGTACTTCAGCTCATTCCTCGCTACAATAAATGAAGTACCCTTTTCTGCAACTGTCTCTGATGATGGATTCAAGAGAGAATCCGAAACGTCAGGCGAATAAAGCAATTGTTCGAGCGATCGCTTCTTCTTCTGATCAGCTAGTTCTTGGAACTCGCATCTTCGCTTGCATCGGCAAATGAAGTACCTTAAACACGTCTCTACGCGCTGCAAGTCGCGGCTTGGAAGGTTGCCAACTAACGGTAGGACTTCGCCCCCTCGGAACAGATAGTCAAGCTGCAATGGCTCTGTCCTAATGTGGCCTCTACGGAGTTCCCATGAACGTGAGATCAAAGCTGCTCCATCGTCCGTATGAAAACCTGGCACATTACACGGGGACCAGGCCGTGTTTGGCATGAGCAGAGGGGCTATGCAGGTTCGTCGGACACTGCGTCCGAGACCGTCACCGGTTGTTCTGACTCAGTCTCGTCACCCGGTACAGATGGGTGAGAAAGGACAGAATGCGGGAGCGCAAGTCTGCCACTGCCATACACTAATTCATGCGCAAGTCACCGTCCTGAGACCACCACGCTGTAGAGCACACGATGGGCACCCTCGTTCACGACGGCCGAACTGGCATATGGGCAAGGGGACGAGGGTATGGCGACAGCAGAAACATAAACTTCGCACCAGCGAACCATGGCGAGTACCAAATGAAACGTTGTGTGCGCAAGGACCCCAACAAGATGGCAGATAGGAACAGTGAACATTTATGTTGGCCGTGCTTACAAACACAGAGAAGTACTTTCGAGAGACAAAATAAAAAGGACTCGTCAGATTGGGGACAATGTAGAGACAAGTACAGTAACAAGGGAGTCTGTGGCGAAAATAAACTGACGAGATGAAAGTAAAAATCGAAAATTACATTAAAACGCGACTGTTGAAGAGAGTTGAGGGTGCAGTTGAAAAGACGATGATAAGGACGTCTGACTCTGTAGAGCCTAAACAAGATCGGACGAATTGGTATAGCATATCACAAAATACAAAAGTAAGAAAACGCTGGCGGTCAATGGCGTCAGATTTTAGCTCTACGTAAGTCACCAAGTGCATCTCTTGACAAAATGTGCCCTGTCTGGCTGGGGAAATCATCGAAGGCGGAAGAGCAGAGATCCGGAGATAAAGCCGACTCTAAGGTTGTCAGGGATTACTGTATGGGCGAAAGCGCAGGGACGGCAATTTTATTTGTGGTCCCCACTCAGGGAGTCCTCGAGAAGGTGGTGTGCGAGGTGAGTAACGTCACGTTGAATTCCGCTGGTTCCCAATGCTACCCGGCGCCAGACGGTCTAAAAGTATATTCAGATGCTAACTGAAAGTTATTAAAATATAAAGGGTGAAAACTGAACATTTAAGATCCTAAGTAAAGAGATATGGCCTAATTAATGGCATTTTCTAAAAGGAGACACGAGAGGAATCTTAAGTTCAGTAATAGGCAGCAGGGAGCGTAAAAAACCATCCAGTTCACATGGGAGATGTAAGTTAATGAAAACGAGTCAACACACACCAGCCTGGTCTGCTTAAATATCTTATTTATCAGTGGAGCTCGAAGAATGTACTCATGTCCTGCGATCCCCCTGAACGAAAGCATACGAGCCCTACCATTTTGCTAGAGGCCTGCTTGGCTTATCTGACGTCCTGGCGGCTAATTTCCCATTGTCTCAATTCCTCCTTCGTCTTCATGAATAGTAGACAAGAGAACATGAAGTTTCCTGCAAACCTCTCGTTTCCCCTTCTAGCTTGCTGCATGTTCAGAAAGATCAACAGTAAGTGACGAATACGCTATGTCCCCTTCCCTCGGATTATTCATGCTCACAGATGCGACTTCTTGAGTACTGTGGAACCACTTGCATGTAAGAAGCGTTACAACCTAAAAACTAGATTTCGTTGGGACTAATGTGTCAAAAAAGATCCGGATTTTCAATATAGTCCTGCAGTATTCGAAAGGAAATTCAAGCGAGTTAGACGGCTAAAATTTTAAGTAGTGTTACAGTTCTACAAACGGTGTCGATTATTACGGAAAACAACACAAGGGGATATACAAGTCAGACTACCGATTGCATCATGGAAATACATACTTCTGATGCAACTTGGAGTATCCGCCGTATGCTCAACTGTGGTTGTTGCTGGACTGGAAACGCAAAAGGCGATGAATTCCGCCTGGTCCTTGGCACTACAGGTTCAAGGACGGACTTAGAGGCACTGTAAGTCAATCTACGCGAACCCGAGGACATCATGATATTGTTGACCTCTTTCGCTGTTTGTACCCGATTCCAGACTGTGGCTTTAGCTGTAAGGAGAGCGATCGAGTCCGAACTACAGTTGCTTGGAAAAAGAGGTGTCAGGGAGCGTCTAGGAGGCAGGAAGGAAGATGAGAGCTGAGTGCTTGATGGATCAGACGAAAGCGATTGTGGTGAACTGGACCGCTTTATTTTAACACTCGGGGAGCAGACAGCCGAAACTTTTGCGTCCTGTAAGAACAAACAGAACGATTAATGATTACCATTTCCATGGATAATTGCAGATGTATATATATATATATATATATATAATGGTAGGGGGCGCAGGCATTTTTATACATTAGATAGTTAAGTAGAAGCACCCAAGGCACAGCAACTAAGCAACGCACGGAGATGTGTTGGCCATAGATGTGAAGAGCATTAATTTGAAAGGTATGCCGCAAAAGCAGCAAGATATAGAGGCCGCAGTGGCCAAAGACGTAGCCTATAACTTACAAGTGTAGAGTGGGCATAAATCACGCGCCTTCAGCCGTAAGTCAGCAGTGATTGCAGGGCGGAATCGCATCACGACATTATTGGGATAACTCACTCCAGCGTCCTTGCATGAAGTAGCAGTGTTACAACGCTCGGTGACTTGTTGGCCTGTGTTGTCCTAATAAATTAGGGCAACTCCCTGCTTTGCCCATTCAGCACCCAAGCAAGCCCCATATAAGAGGAAGAGCGAGAAATCCTACGTCGCTCCAAGAAAGTTCGGAAAACGGAGTGCATCATGAGAAGGCAAGGGTTGCTGTGATAGGCGACCGGCGGATTTGCGTAGGATGAGTTTTTGTCGCCAAGGATAACTATTTGCTGACTCTTAGCCCATTAAAACCGAAATTTTGGCCTTTTGGCCTAAATACCACTAGAAGCCAGTAAAATGCGTAGTAGGATATCTCTCTTATCGTTAGGAACGTCAAGAAAAGTGAGCTTTATCCCACGTTTGTAAACCGATCTGAGCTGAAAAAATCACGAAGCTGACCACACAACTTCTAATCGCGGCAAGGACACCACTGCAAGTCGGACCCTGAGGAAAGGGACTTTGACCAGAGTCACATATTGTGGTTTCAACGATCTCTGACGAAGTTGATGAAACGGTGCTTTCTGGATAATAAACAAGATTTTCTCCCAGAACTGGGTGCCATCCACACCAGAATACCAGTAATAGTTGGTCCAGATAACAGGAAGGATAGTGTTGAAGAAGACACGATCGCCGGGACGGCGAGGTTACGGCATTCGTGTCTTCTTCTTCAAGACTGCTTCCTGGGACTCGTCTCTTCGCTTCTATTGGCAAGGATGTAGTGTCTTCGAGGACATTCTCCGATCGACAGAAGTCATACGAATGTCATGAGTGGAAGACAGTCCTAAAGTCAGGCACGACTGCTGTTCGCAGTTTACATGCATGACTGGCTGTCCCACGAGTACACGGATTGCGGTGGAAGAACCCCCTAGTGGAGACTAACTGGGAAATAAGCATTCGCAAACCGGCAGCACCAGAGCTTCCGGGACGTGGGGAGTTTAGGCCTTCATAAAATATTACAAAACCCGACAACGGCACTGTACCGTGGTGACCGTGCGCTAAAGTGGATAACCTCGAATAAAAGATCGAAACTGATGTTAGGGTTCTACTTACGTGGAGGATTTCCCAAGACACCCCGAAAATGTAGGTTTAGATAGGGCAGGGTCAAGGACGTATCAAACACAGATGAAGTACGCTGTAGGGTCTGGTCAATCGAAAACAGGCTGAACACATCTGCGAAACTACCAGGTGCCCACATGGACTTGAAGAACTGCTGGAAATTTTAAGTATAAAACTTTAGCAGGCAAGCTGATGCCAGTGGAAAAGTGTATTGCTGATTATCGAACATCATCGGCAAAATGAGTATCACAGCGTACGGGACGACTTTTTAAAGGTATGCAGTATGTAGTAAACGGCGTCAGAGGAGATTTTCATAGTCAAAGGGGCTTAGTTTGCCCGAGGTTATGGCATTCGGCTGGCCACTGTAGCAGGTCGTTAGTGAAGAAAGCGAGGTAGACAGTATGATGACCTGTTACGCAGGTGTAGGGGATGGCGTCTGTTATTTGTCAGAGGGTTTGTAAATAGCAGTCGAAGTGGCACATGATAAAATACAACTTACCGAGTCTTGTTCGGGTTTTATTACTCTGAACAATGGTGGGTTGTCGTCATTATAAGCCGACATCGCATCCGCAGTGGTAGAGAAAAGTGCGCGAGGTTTTAATGGGGCCGAGGGAAAACATGGATTCGATGGTTGGTGACTTGACTTAGAGGCCGAGGCGGGAAATACCGACGGTGGACTAATCAAATGAAATGACTGCAAATCGGACTCTCCGATTGCCTTGGTGGGCGTCTGAACTGCGAACATGTGCTCATCGGAGGTGAAAGGAGCACCCTTGAGGGGGGTCGATATGCAGGAAATTTGAGAGGGTTCAAGAAGGTGCGAGTTGATAGGGAGGGGAGAGGGCGATACCTTGTGTGATGAAGGCGAACACGCAGGTGAGACAAATGAAGGAGAATGGTCAGGCGAGTAGTGCTTTTGGAGCGAGGATTCAAGACGCCGTATCGAGGAAGGTCGGTGATCAGGACCCCGGGAACTTCTTTTCACGCTGGTCACAAATCAAGAATGGGGCAGATGCAAAAAGTTGGGACTAATAATAGACACGCCAGGTGGGAGGTCTGTTACACGGAAGCAAGAAAGCGTACAGATGGCATAGCAATGGGAAGCATTTGTGACTTGATAGCGCAATTGAACATAAAAAGGCCTAGACACTAGCTACCTTTTAAGGCATATACATAAAAAATAGCTCAAACGTCCCCGTTTGGGATCCTTTCGCTATCATCAGCAACCAAAACTCTAAATAAAGGTCAAAAATTCTTCGGCAGGGAACGGAAAAACGCCAATAACTGCCGATCGGAGCGGAGAAACGCTCCAGTAGTTGAGCAGATGGAAATGTAACCCCAACAACATAAGCTCAATTCCACAGGACTTTCTTGAATTGATAGAGGAAATCGTGACTACAAACGGAGACGGGCGCACAGAAAACAGAATCTTGAGAATGTGGTTGCAAAACAAGTGATAGTCAACATACGAGTCGCCAAGAATGCATCGTGATGCTTCAGCTGGCGCGATAGTTGTTTAGGTAGCCACTTCCGAAGGACTGATCGCTGAGTCTGTCTGCAACTGTGAACCGAAGTACTGCCCCAAGGCGTACTGTTCACCAGAACGACTCCTGTGGGGGTGACTACGCTTCACAGGCAGTCATTATTCCGCACAGGCTGTGGCTGTGTATAATGATAGGCTCGGAGCCGGAGAACCATAACCCGGATAGTTTGTTACCCCCACGGTTCTCACTCCATTACCTGGCTTTTGGCCCTTCCGAACTTGAAAGTGTGGTCTGACCAAATTGACTGAACCATAATTTGCAAGATTATGTCTACAATTATGCTTTCAGCCCGACCTTTCCATATCTCAGGCAAATGCCGTTCCCTTAACTGTACCAAATATGGTAAACGAATTCTCAGGCGTCTTGCCGTGATAGTGGTTTCTGGTTTCCCTTTTAGCCTCGGTTGGTTGCCTCAAGTATGTGCGCGACTCAAGTCAAGTAGTATAGGTGGGCGTAATAAATAGGAGCCTGGTGAGGGTTATAACCACTTCGAATTTTTGCGAGCCCCACAGGAAAAAGCTGCGCGGGCGGCCAGTTACGCGGAGCAACTCGGCAAACTTCGCAATCTTGACTCAGTTCACTCTAGCGCGTCTCAACAAGCTGGCAAAGTCCACTAATATAGTTGTGTTTATGGTTTATAGGTGGTTGGCGATGAGGAACAGTACCTGTGCTTTTTGCATTTCCCCAGGGATTTAGTCTTCGGACTACTGTAATTTCTGTGACACGGGAGACTTTCTATTCGTTACTTTTCTTTTGTCGTGGATTGCATTTCCAAGAAGACGAAATTGCATACCGAAGTGTGACTTCGTTTGAGGCCTACAAATGCATCTTGCACATACACATTTCATGAATCCAAGACCATTTCGGTTGAGTTCACAAAGACAGTGTGCCTTTCACTGCCTGGAGGGATGCTCTCGAGCATGAACCTATACCGAAAAAGGTACGCGATCCAACGATCTAGTTTCCTCCAAACTTTAACACCATCGGTTGGGGTAGCCTTCCAGATTCCCAGAGCCCACATAATCATCTTAATGCAAAATAGACTTACGAAAAACCAGAGCTCCCTAGCTTTGGACTTGGGGCAGATGTAGTGTCTAGCCAGGCGTCTAAATCTTTTTTAATCGAGACCTGAAGAGCAGAAGAGAAACAAGTCATTTAATCTTGAAAAAATTGAATTGGAAAAAGGAGCAGTAAAATATGGTCATGACCTTGTCAATAGATGCGGAGAGGTGAATTACAGGAAGGATTCGCGAAGGAGACATGAGCGCTGGAACAAGTGTTCTATTAGCCTGATTCGAGTGAGGATCCTAAACATGAGGCTAATAAAGCTCTTATTCCAACGATCGTACCTCCTTCGCAGTCATGAGCTTGTTAGCCATGCAAGAAAGATATTACGGAGTAACTGGTTCAGAGAAGGCCATATCTAGATTAAGGTCTACCCCGGGTTGGATAAAAAAAACTACAAAAATTGTACTTCACAACGGATGAAGATGTTAAAAGCCCCTGGTGCACGCCACGAGGCGACCGACACCATGGCCACCACGACTAGCCCGAGGAGAACGTTAAGATAATATGGTGTCTACTTTACGGGACGGGTCAGACCTACCGGACTTATGCGTATAACCGGATCCCTGTAAACAAAGCCGCCTTCGCCAAGTGTCGTGAACGACTGTAAATGAAGCTTCGGAAGATGCAAAGCCCTAGAAATATAGGCGATATTCTCGTGCGAATGTAAAGCGAGGACCTTACAGATTGTTGTAAAACGATATTGTTACCCTTGGCCGTATACTAGGATAAGAGCGGCAATGGTACGAATATACCTAGGTCTCAGGCAAACGTAACGCGAACGACTAGGATTCATGGAAAACTAGTGCAAGATCAAGTATGGCGAGCTGCTGTGGAAAGTGAAACTGTAATCTCTGGAACCAACCGCGCACAGAATGCCAAGGAGAAGCGACAGAAATGTAGAGGAACAACACTATCTCATGCATTCTCACCGATAGCGCAAAGGGGGGGGAGTTGGTTCTGCAGCCCCACTTGACTGATAGCATATAGTTAGCTTACTAAAAAAAATCCATCAGCATACGTAATTTAGGCACTCGCCGGATTAGGAAGGGGAAGCGGGCGCAATAAGAGCTCGAAGCAGGCGCACGGAAGCGCGTGAAGGTGGCGTATACACATTCTTCCCGAGACACGGCCACTCGCTGGATTAGTAGGATAAGGAGGGTGCAATCACAAATGGAAGGCCACGGGGGGGACCGCGTGGTAATTCACAGTGCATGGTCATTGTAGTAAAACCGACGGAGTAGTAGTCCGTCCGAAAAATTCCATTAGCAAATCTACTTAGCCACTCGCTGGATTAGTATAATAGAGGCGCAAGCGGGGTTCGATGTAACCGAGGGTGGCGTATAAGCACTCCTCTCCCGTGACACAGTCACACGTTGTATTAAAATGGCAAGGTAGGTGCAAACATGGGATAGTAGTAAAGTATTCGCATTTACTAAGCTTGTTTTAGGAAGCTAACCACATGGTATCAAACAAGTGAGGCTGCAGAACCTAACTGCGCCGCGCAAAGTTATGGCTCGCATTGACTTTCAGCCTGACCATACGATAAAAAATGGCCATGATGTGGCAAGAGCTTCGCTCATATGGAGCGGAGTGTGCCAACCAACTCTGATTGCACGAAGAAAATGGGAATCTCGATTCTAATAGGTGTTTTGTCTTGGGACTGGGGGTCAGGGTCCATACAGACGTGACAAGGATCAAACCAAGAACTATCGCTACTATCTGTCGGCAAAACTTTTAGAGGTGCGCCGCTGTCAGACAGGATGCATCGGTGAACGAAATACCCTCCAAGGCCTCAGAACTCCACAGACAGGTGTCCCCGACCGGCGCTTAAGATAAATTAAGACAACGAGGCCTCTGTATACCAGATTTTCCATACGAGGGCAAGGCGGAGGAGCAACAGACTATTTGATGAGCCAACGGGTCCACATTGGGAGTATCACCGACTGGCCGCAACGGAAACTCAATCGTAAGTACGTCTTCACCAATCCCCATTCACCATACCCGCCCGTGAACTAATATTACCACTCGAAGCTAGTGCTATTCCCTTTCATCAAATACTGCCACCGGCAGAACGTGCGCTCTGAATATGACGCGTAACTTGGGCCCAATGTTTTCCTAAGGAGGATCATGACTTTTTTTTATGATGGTGAGGACAATAACAGCTTGCCTATTGAGATGACACTGGTGGGGCGCCTTCAATGAGTACAATGGGCTCCAGAGCACTACGCCGATAAGAATTCGTGCCAGCTGTTGGTTACACCAGGGGGGGGGTGTGGTGGTTTTCAGTTCGGTTCTATTTTATTATGGGGAAGGTAGGCGAACGTCTTTGAACTGCCTACTGGCTACCATAACGTCGTAAATGAAGAACACCGATATATGAAGAACGTTAGAGAGAAGATTGGCTATGGAATTGCATCCAACCAGCGTGTAACTGGCTGGTAAATACTAGTATACCAGTGTATGCTTTGTGTGGTAAAATCGTGGACATATAAAAACTCGCTGCTGAAATGCGTCAAGAGGTAGGGAAACGAACACTTGTACGTCGTCCAGAATGCACTGGACCACGCGTTGTCACCCGATGAGGTATTTCACGAAACAATTATAAAACAGTGTTACCAAAACACAGGAAGTATGCTTGATAACCTTTAACTTTCGGGGTGATACAAGGGGAGAAATGTATTTATTTCCGATGGCGTGGTTAAGCTTCCTCCTGAAACTGTCCATGAACGGGGACATGCCGGCGTACGTAGACAGGGCATTTCCTGACGTAACCAACCTCATTGAACCCAGTCTCGCCCAAGTCACACGTAGTTTGAAAGGATGTCCTCTCAAGCTAGTGGCGTCGGCCAGCTCAAAGTCGCTGGATGCGAGGCAACAATTCTGACCCCACAGCATGCGGAACCCTTGCGTTAGGTCACCGCGTAGCTGTGTTTCGTAAGGCAGGTAGCCTTGGTCGCGGGCAAGCTTGGTTGCACATCGCTGGACTTTTTCAAAGGTGATGCGGTCCTTGACAGTTTACGGTCTCCAGGCCTGAATGGCAAATTTGAATTGTGCTAACACGAACATCCCGAAGACCTCACCAAAGCACACTATCGAAATTTGCAAAAGCCCGCTTGATGAGATACAAGTTTGACATTGTGGATTTAACTGATTTCAAGAAGTGGAACGATGGCTTCAGAGAGGGCGTGATCCACGTCCCTAGCTATTTCTGAGCCCCTACCTCTGGTAGCGATGCGTGATTCAGATAACACATCCAGCGGCGCGCAGTGCAGGTCCAGCCGATTCGCAGAATGTTGCACCTAGTAATATTGAACGGAAGGAGCCAGTGGTTTAACCACTGCTCGAGTCGATGCAAGTTTGCCTGTAAATTTGTTTTATCTTCGTTGCAGATGGCGTTCCGAAGCTGCATGTCGTCAGCAAAAGTAGCGACGTCGCAGTCTAACTCACGGATGCAGTCATAAGTGGGGCCAAGGACAGGGCGCAGAGGAACTCCACTCTCAGACGCCACCTCTGCTGATTGCTGGACGCCAAGGCGGACAATCTGAGACCAAAAAATCGACAAGTTTTTACTTCACTTCAAAAGCTGGCCCAATACGACTACGCTTGTATGGGAGATGCTGGTGAGGCACACCATCGAAGACCTTCTTGAAGCCTATGTAGGCTACATGCACCACATTTCCTCCATCAATCGCTCGGGTCCAGCGTCCTAGACAGTGAAGCAAATTGGTTGAGCAGGACCTTCCTCTGCAGAATCCATGCTGCGCGTTGGAGAGTTGATGTTACTCTCATGACTACACCAGGTTAAGCTTGATAATTCGCTCCAAAATGCTGCAACATGCAGGTAAGGCTTCTGGTCAGTAGTTGTTTGCGGAATTACGACAGCCACTTTTATATATCGGGAAAATCCACGCAGTCTTCCACTCAGGTGGCAATTTGCCTGCAGCGAGATTTGGGAGAGAAGATATAGGGGTTCTATCAATTCTACGGTTAATTACTTCAACAACTTTGCAGGCATTTTATTAGGACCTGACAATTTCGGGTCTTTCAGCTTCGGTAGTTCTTGTATAACAACAGCCTTTGCGAGGAACATTGAGTCAATTTTCGGGCCTCATCTACACCATATCTATCAGCAGTTAAATCATTTTCTCTCGTAAACACCGACTGAAAGAACTTAGTCTTTTCAACACCATCATCCGTTTTCAACAAAGGATTGGGTCTCCATTTCGAAACCATTGTCTTATGTAGGTGTCGAAAAGCCTTGGGGCTTTCTACTGCATGGCTTAACAAGTTATTATCGAAGGCTTCGCAGACTATATAAACAAGGAAACCAACCCTACTTCTCTGTCTTGCACTTATTCATTGATTTGATGGCCTTCTCCGTGGGATAAGTTTTCTATAGCTTTCGCTTGCGGTTTACTTCTCTCTTTAGCTAGCGCGGTCTTTATTTTCGATTTCGGGCAGTATCTGGTGATAAGTTTACGTAATAAGGCCATAAATTCCAATCAATCCTCGAGAACGCACGCGGATAATGTTGCGTTCGGGTCTATACGACGCACGTTAATTTTCATTTGGTTAAAATATCCACGCCCACTCGAAGGCCAACTCGATATTACGGGATGGGCTTCCTAGGAAGACAATAAACTTTTAGAGAGGGTGTAGGGGTGGATTTATTTCTATCTGACACTAGTACGCGCAAATTAGTTGACAATCAACGCCGACCTTAGGCGCACGGAGGCCTTAGTGATGATACCCCGAAAGGCAACCGAAAGGATTGTGCGATTAGGTCGGAGTTCCCAAGTGGGGCGGCAGTGGCGAGAGGGGGCGGCGAAGGCGACAGACGAGCCTGGTGATTCACACATGGCCGAAAGTATGTGCGCGGGGGACTTTCCGGGCCCGGTGACCTGAACGATCTGGAAGGGGGGTGTGAGAAGGCAAAATCGCCACATCGCACGAGGGACAGGCCCGTAAAAGCTGCTACTGATTCCATTGGCCTGAGGCATGGATGAGTGGCGTTCGTAAAGACGGATCGTTGCCACGGGATGGGTGGGGAGGACCCATAATATCGGCCAAGGATACGGGCAAGATAGTTAGAAGATACCTTCACAGAGGCACATGAGTAAGGCGCTTAAGGAATGCAGACACTTGACTTTCTGAACGCTTTGGAAGCCAATAGTTTAAGGGCTGCGCCAGTAGCCGAGACAAAACAAAATGATGGTGTATAAAAATACTGCATTGCGATGGACGCGAAATCATTCATAAAAGTACACCTAACCAACACGACCTACCGAAGAATCTGCATGGGAAGACTTGGTTCTGCGAGGACCTACGGCCGAGGTCAGATTTAGGTCCTGGAGGGGGCAGACGGGGGAAGACGCGAAAGACTTGAAACGATTGCCCTGGACAGCCGAGTGAGCATCATTTTGCATACATAAATTTTCGGGGCCAGTACTGGCAAAGTCGGAGGACCTATATCCAAGAAAATTTTAAAACCACTTTATTAGATTTTTGGCGAACTCCGTAGTTTAAGAATTCAGTCAAAGGATCATGTTTGAAAAATACAAATGTAGGCAATTTTGCTACCAGCCGAGAACCCACTGCAAACACTAACCGGTCAATTATACAGTAAAATACTATGGGACTAAAGGCATGCATTAAGGACAGAAACTACGCTGATCTTTAGCCTGAAGGTACACCTACTTCTGGGATGGGAGTCTTATTTTTAGACCAACGAAGGCGGTCAATACGTTCAAATGCGAAACTCCTCACGGTAACACACCGCACAGACTACAACTTTTGAAAACTATTGATGCCTGATGGCTTTGGTGGTCACCAAATTTGATGAATGATCAACCTGACAGTTTACAACAGACAAGCTGTTTATCAACGCCGCAAGGAACGCCTTCGGTTACAACGACATTCATCGACGTCGAATGGACACCCTGATGTTACAGGATAATGCTCCTGTCCATTAATCGTAAGAAGTATAATTACAATGACGTTTACAACTACGATTCAGTTTTGTCAGACAGCGACCGGTCCCTTCGACTAGGGCTTTTGAACTACTTTTGGCCAGATGTGATTATATAGCCACACTTAAGATAAACAAACCTCAGCCACCTGTAATACGAGACCGGTGGTAATAGGGCTTTTTACAAGAGGGGCCGGGGAACGCACAGGCGACGGGGTCGACTAATTGTATGCAAAATAAAAGCTATTAGAAATGAGCGATTGTATTTAGAGTGGTTGAGAATTAGTTGCCCTAACACTTAACCCAAACCCCCCTAACCCTAACCCCAACCTTAACCTTAACTGCAGCCCTAAACCCTAAGCCCTGAAACATCCAACGCGAAAGTTAGAAGGAAACGACAGGCCGAAAGTCAAAAAGGACCACCGGCAATGGGCCGCAAAAGGTAGACACGACAACAAAGAAAAAACGCGGCCAACTGAACACACACCGCGACGCACAACAACACCATGCTAACGTAATCACGACAACTCAAAATAATTAAGTAGGTCAACAATATTATGTCCATCAGGTGCGGTTACATAACCACATCTTACCCTATTTTTATTCCTTCTAACGGCCCCGATCTCAATCCCATGCAAAATACTTTCGCATCTACGAAAAGAAACCGGCACAAGCGAATAAAAAATCTCTAAATGCAAATGAAGCTTGATTCCGAGCATAATAATTGTACCGATCACTTCGCCATAAAAAATTTGCCCGGTTCGATTTCCGGAAGGTTTATTTTATACGAAAGGAAAACCGGCCGAACAATGATATAGGGTTTGATGATTCGTTATTATTTTCTCATTTCGGTGCGTTTGTATTTCGCCTTAAAGAAATGGTGTGCAATATACCTATTTTGTGAAACTATCGTTTGGTAAAAATCGATTCCCAGTTAGTAAGTGACAATTCCTAGACCAGACTCTCTATTTTTGAATGACGGTCGTTTTCTTCATGCTGAAAATCTTTGAGAGACGCGAGCAGCTTCCGCATTACAGGACTTTGCTGGCGAATTTCATGACATCTGTAAGTGATGGAAAAGCGCTGCTGACTGTGGGCGAGCGTCCTGTAGGAAAGCGGGCATGGCAGGGTCTTATCTCCCAGTCAGATGTGTGGGTTTGGCCACCCACACCAGGCAAGGCACTTAACTTTCACCGTCCCGTCCTCAGTGATTTTGAGAGGGAACAGCCGAAAACCCATATTTATGAAACTGGAAAGCATGCAGTCCAGAAAAACTTGCCGATGGGTAGAGAGAGGCGTCTCTGATCCCTGGTAGCAATTCTTGCGTCGAAAATGTCTGGCCTGCTGTACCGTTATTGCACTAGTCTGTCTGTACTGGTTCCAGAGTGCTCGTAGTTCAGTCGGCGTTCTAGTGCCACAGGGTGGGAAATGCCTCGCAATGAGATCCCAGTCTGTCCCATGAATTCGAACAAGTTTGGCCAGTAACTCTTCTTCCCTGCCCGACCGAGAGGGGAAGTAAGACGGCTGTTGATTTCGAAGTTGCTCAGAATATGGAAGTGTTGAAACCGAACTATTTCTAAAAAAAGCAAACAACGAGTTTAATAAGCTTACTCTAAAGAGTGGCTCTAACTGGTTGGGCAGTAGCTCTGGGAGGGGGAGTGTTCAACTGGGCAATGTAACCTTAGGTAGAGTTAAAATAGAGACATGAGATAATCCCTCGTCGAAAACGACACCCAGTGTAGTGGATGAGGCAGAACTAGAAGCAAAGGGTGGCCTGGTTGATACTCCTTGGGATTTCTAAGTGCCCGGACTGTTCTACGGCTGTCAAGTGATTTTTGTCAACAATTGTCGTAGATTCGGTGTTTGGTGCATTATAATCGTTCGCTCAAGTAAATGACTAGTCCGAAGTTGTGAATCCCGAGACAAAAAGGAGCCAGACCTAGTTACGTGCTCGCGTCAGTCGTGGTATTTAATGTTATCTTCAATGAAGAGGTCATGTATCCTGGTTTTGAGGATTGTCGTGACGGCCCGCGCGCAACGGATTCTGAGCAGCTTCTAGTCAGCATGTGCCACTCATGAAAACATGAGGATGACGAGCAGCGGGCCCGTAAAGGCTTCTAAGACTAATCGCTCGTCTGCTACGTTAGCAACTCGGTCATCAGGATTCTTGGGGATAAAAGTAAGTGTTTTGGGAGCAAGTCACAATTTCTCTTAATTTACGACTGGATCGCAGCGAACATCATGGTGGTTGTTTCACGGTGTCTCCGGAAGCCGCCCTATTCATATGAATCCATATGAAGATTCGGGTAGATGCAGAATGCAGGCAAAAATTCTGTCAGTAATGTTGAGGAGCAAATCTCGCATCGCAAACATGACAATTCCTTTTCCGTTCGCAGAGGTTGAGAATAGTGGTTTTCTCGAGGTACTGGTGCATTGTATCTACATTCCCTGGAATGTCAAGGTTGGCACGTTGAAACGAAAAGGGCGTTTTTAGGACCTAATCTGCACCCTGTCCTTACCTTCTACCGTAGGGAGGGTTGGCGATCAACGTCAGCAACGGTTTCTATTCGAGGGAATCTATTGATGACCCTCTTCACTACCAAAGACGGGCGCTAGAGAACTTACTTATGATATTCGACCTGGAGCTCCAAATCTGCGATGTTTCCGACAAGTTTGATCGATCTAAGCCAAACAACGAGTTTCCGAGGTGCTGGGGCCTGCATATCACCTAGGCAGTTGCGAACTCCAGACTGCACAACTGTCAAGGTGGTTCCTGGCTTGAAACTTAATCAGTTATTTCCAACCTCCCACAGCTTCTGGGTTACTGGGCTTCGACATCAGGGAAATGCGGCCTTCTTTGCAGCAGTCGCGCGAAGTTCTTCGGGAGGGGGGGGGGTGGGGAGGACGTTGGGTTCTTCGTAGTTGTCATCGAACCAGTTCAGACGCTTTGGGTTGGCGGGTTTAGAGACTTATGTGGCAGTAATGCGGACGCATCCCATGGCCTGTTACACCTGGGGCTAACATCTTCGGCCTCCAGAGCTTGAATCTGCCGCAGACTGGTGTTTATTTGGCAGGTGAGATTTGGCCTGGACTCTGCCGTGTTTGAAACTGTTGGGCTTCATTTTTTACACCCATAGTTCTCGCGGAAAGTTTCATGGTGAGACTTGCAACAGCATATTCAAGACGATCAGGTGGTGAGTAGTCCGGCGGCTGCAGTCGGGAAGATAGGGCTGCGTCTGTTGTCGTTGAAGGCGCAGACTTCGTAACGACCAAGCAGTCCCTTTCGGGCGCCACAATAAATGCTTTTTCGTGCGTTAACGTCAAATAGAACAATTATCCGCGTTCGATACAGACATAAGGGCGTGTGACTTTTCGCAAAAACTGCTCTTCACATCGCGAATTGCCACTGGAAGGGGGTATCCTTCACTCGGTGGACATTTTAGACGGCTGTAAAGGTCGCGAATCTTGCGTTAAAAACCGTCTTTACAGCCAAGACGATTGTCCTTCGATCACAAACATTTTGTGGCAGACGCATGTAAGAAGTGAGTGACAATATCCCATATCATTCATTTTTATTTACTCATGGCCGATAACCAAAGGCACATGAAACACAGTGCGTAAATAGATACAGCTTATGAGAATCAAAAATCAGAAAATTTGGGCTAGTCAAAAGGGCGGAATTATAACAAAGATAAGAAGTTCAGGACCAATTTGCAAAGCCATAAGTATGCACTGACTGGAAACAACATACCGCATCCGGACATAGGGCTTAATGACCCTCCTCGGGTGTACGCTGACAGGATAGCTCGGGACCCCGGACACTGATCCTAGAATCATTACACTGTCTACTTTGAGGCAGGACTGGTTACCACCGACGGAGGCAAACGGAGTGGTAGGGCTCAACATAAAATTAGATGAGGGTTGGCCATCTTCGTTAGACTCGGATTTTCATGACGAATCAAAATCAAAGCATCTAAGAAGTACCTAAAAAGTAAAAACGGCACAAGGACGACTATGGGACATACTGTAAAAGCGCAGGGGTCCTGTTCTAACAACCTAATCTAAAGTCATAAAAGACGAAGAAATCGAAACCAACGATAATGGCAAAGCATTCAAATACATAATTTACGCCTCGACAAAATCTACTAATACTCTGTGCATGCATTTTCGAGAACACATTAAAATTACAGGCATACCGAGATTACGCTATAGGAAGAGGCAGCTGGAATGTTGGATGACTTTTGAATTTCAGAGTTTTTATTAACAACTCGCCGTCAGGTGAGACAAACGAAATGGCAACTTTCTGGAAGTTTAAGATTTGCGTTTCTAAGCAGAGGACGTGAGTAAGGACGAACGGTACACGTTTGCTAGAGGTGCAGTAATGGGTAGTGGGACCGCGAGAATAATATGACCCATTTTATCTCGGCCCGGTGATTCGTAGGAAGAGAAACCGACTAACTGTACTCATTAACTTAAGTAATGAGCACCGAGGTGGATATGACAATTTTAAGTGAGAATCCGACATGCCAGAATGCAACCTGATTCCAGTTCTAAATTCTGTCTTCTTTGAATCACTACTTGAAACCCAGCACCCTGTATGGATCAACAACCTATTGACTGGTGACCCGGTTCGATTGATTTACTGCTGAGAGACCTTTACTTTCCGAGGAGTCTCTACCTATGAGTCGAGTACTCTTGAAAATGTCTTAGAAATTATGTGCTCCTTGGAAACCGTCCCTGCGTAAACAGAGACGGCGAGACAGTCAGTATTAGAACGTTTTAAATTGACGTTCCACCCTCTTCAGAATATTTGCCGTAGGACTAAACAAGAGGGGATGCGTTGAATTCATCAGTACAAACCTTATGCAGAGGGTGGACGACCGAACACGTAAACGGAGACAGATGCAGGACACAGGTATGGAGCATGAGCTCCCTAACTGTCTGGACAGCCACGTTCAAAAACGGAAACTTAGTGCGAGACCTGCCGTTGAAGCGGCAGCCAAGAAAACAGCGTTGTCCTGTCGAAACCGACAGGACGACGGGCCAGTGGCTCAGTGGTTAGAGGCGTTGGACTTCTAACTAACAGGTCGCGAGTTCGAGCCCCAGGTGTCCCACACTTTGGGGTTGGGTATGACTGGCTGACGACGACTAATAAGCCAGAAATGGCCATTCCAGTCTCCCTTGTCTTGGTCGGTAATAACATTCTGAATAAATTCTTCCTCGAAACACCTGAGGCCAACCCTGTAAACATGATTGTAGCGCCGAGGTCAGTCATCAGTTAAGCAGGTGCGACTGGTGAGAAGAAAGCTCCGGGGTGCGTAGTGTAATAATTGGGAAAGAAAGACGAACCACACGAATTCTCCCCCAGAGTGGGATACAGTCTCATGAGAAAACCGAAGAACAACAAGGACTGAGTTATTGCGCCGGTGACAAAAGTGAACGGGAAGACAAGGAACTTGCCTGAAGATAATCGGTTATACGCCTCATGAGAGCATAACCCCTCCCACGAAAACACTGGCACGCAAAATTTGCACGAGCAATATCGGGTGATTACCGACGATTGGCGATCTCGAGAGGCAACATTGGCCGGATCCTATGGCTTTCCCAAACTGCATAAAATGACCCGCCAGGTCCGTCAGAGTTTCTGAACGGAACCTCAAGTCTTATACCGATAATGCGGCTTTTCGGAGCCGCAGTCGTCCATTTCTCCACTTCTGTTCCACAAGATCTAGGAGCTCAAACTATCCAGTTACTTTTAAAGAGCAGATACAATCAGACGGATAATTGCCTCGAAGGCGCTTTGGCGCTCTTTTTGAATGGTCCTTATTTCGTTATGACGCGGCCAGCTGCAACAACACTGGTCGTTGTGCGGTGTGGATGTCAGCATGTCTTATGTGAGTGTATGCGGCCTCTAACGTTGCTTTTATACAAGACTATGTTCTAAATTTCAGGACTATAAGGCAGTGGATAAGGAGAGCGAGTCCGCTGAAACATTGATTGCTGCCGACCATTTTCGTCACGATGGCAAGAAGTCATGTCTTTTATAACTTCTGCAGGGCAATCCGACTCCTGGCCACATTCAGCGTACTTTACGCGCCATTTCACCACCATACGCCAGTTTTCCCTTGGAGCCACAAGCGGTTGCAGGCCCATAAACATGCGTGTGGAACGTTAGCAGTGCAGCAGCTGTCAACTGCTGCTGAGGCCTCTGTTCAGCTGCCTAGAATCTGGCAAGCCAGCCTCCGCGTATAAAAATAGATTTTGTAGGGCCGAATGCAAGGTTATCTGAAGAGAACTTCTAAAGCCGGTTGAGTTCCTACCGGCTTTTGCCTACACATCCCACAAAACTTCCTTTCTCCACTGTCTGGGAGGTCATTTGACGGAGGATTAAGTTAGACAGATATTATATTTGCTGTATGACGATGAATTCTCCATCCATATATACTTTAAGAGGTAAAATAAGGAAGAGCGGCTCGCAGAGGTCAAAACTGTGCAAGGTGATAACAGATGCCTTCTCTGCGACGATTTGTTACATAGACGTTTTCGTAGGGCGGGATAGAGGCGGATATGTCGACTTATGTGAGCTGGAGTGCGCTTTCAAAAGGCGTTTGTAAGGATCGCTAAACTTCTACGGAAGAACAATTCACAAATTTCCAACGACTATTCAATTGCCTGGCTAGTTAAGTTTGCCTTTCTTTTAGAAAACTACATCTAACGTTTAGGACTAGCTGGGACCGATCTCCGGGCCCCTGTCCATACGCCAACAGATGGAGTTGAGTGGATTGTCCATTACGGAAGCAGAATGGCACAAACTAAGCGCCCAGTCGTCCCTGTGCAGACATTTTCTCGTCAGCTGCCCAACGGTATTGTCACAAAAACTCAGCCTTCACCGTTTCCACTTCCTTTATCGGCATTATCTAGAGGTGGCTGTTTCAAGTTGACATAACAGTAGGCCAAAATTGACGGGAAAACGTTAGACTACGATGGAATATGACGACGTACGGGCCGAAGCTTAAGTCAAGGTTTCACAGGTTGAGCTCTAGAAACCGCTTCGACCTATCCATTGACATTTTGAAATATCAATAACAACTTGGTATCGAGAAAGTGAAATTCGACATGAAGTAGACGCGCCTGTCCGAAAACTTCGCATCGAGTCAATGTCGTCTAGCTACTAGGGCACGTTTAAGGCGGTTTCCACAATGGTATGGATGATCCAACTCGAATTTACGCAGACATTGCTTAGCACCACTAAAAGGTGCACTGCTTGTATTGACGTATCAATTCAAAGCTATGATAAAAAGAATATTTCCTTCAATTATGCGTAGTAGTCGGGCTGTCAGGCATGGCCGACGCCAGACGACCGATATACTATATTCCGCAGACAGGCAAACGATTAAGCGTAAGGATGATCTACGATAACACCAGTAATATTTTCCGAAACTTCTAAAACAGTGGCCAGATTTCGGCAGCTTATTGGATTTAAATGAATGTCATAGTGAGACTGAAACAAAAAGTGGACAATTTTCGTGACGCAAAATAAAACTACGAGAAAATTATAAACAGGGACTCGAGAAGCGAGAAAGATAGGGTGAATACCGGAACAACCTATTTTGCACCGGTTTGAAGATCAAGAGCGAAGTAAAAGTCTAATTCCATTATCTGCTGGCATATGCTAAATAGGGAAAATAAGGCAATTGAAAATAGCTGCCACGGTTAAAAATTTAGGCGGCTAACAGCACAAAAAATCGCAAAAACATTTTGACACCATTTTTACGCATCTATCTTACTGCGAGCAGTTTAAGAAGTATTGGACATGCATTTCGTGAAATTACTGAAGGGGATAATTCTTCCCCATCATTGCCCGAAACGGAAGTAAACAAACGTTAATCCTGCGCTGGAATCTCATTAAGTGAATTAACCAGAAGCATCCGAAAGTTTTTCTCTTTCGAGTGCGGAGAAGCTTCTTTAGGACTCGCTAATAGACGGAACGGGTGGTGTGCCGCTGCGTTGATAACAACCTGGACGTCTATAAAATTTCCGTCATCCGCAAGGACTTTCTGCGATGTATGCAAATGAATCCCGAAGCATTTAAGGGCCCTAAGGAGTGGTAGACATCGTTCCCGTGGGAAGAGTATACTAACTACACCTAGGCACAATTACTTGCCAATAAATAACTACTCATATCGTCGGCTAATTTGGATAATTGCCTTAAAGCAGTCGCAATCCGCACTTCGGAGTCAATGCGCATCGGTAGTGAATTCACAGCAGTAAACCCATGCCGAGTTCCACGAGACCACGCAGCCTACTTTGTTACTCGGGCTCGGTAATGAGGCCGTGCGACGCCTCTGTAGCTCGTATTCGCGTAGCATGCTCTCGGCACGATGTGCGTAATCGATGCGTGCGTGCGTAAATGCATCCGTAGAGTTGGCATGAGCCAGCAATGCGGGAACCCGGGGCGAACACATGCCGCGGTGGGTTGCGACTACTCTTAAACGTCAGTCGAGTCAACCAATCACACGAGTGGCAAATGACTAGTGAGCGAAACGCAATGGGCGTTGGTAATGCACTAAGAGTCCCTGGTCGAGCAAATAAGAACCGGCAGTGTAAGACAGGGATACAAAATTCCCATATGCATTAGTGAAAATATGCATATTAGTCTGCCTGAGTATAAAGAAAAGGAAAATGCTGATTGTCTACAAACCTCAGCAGCTAAAGATGCCGAATAAATTAACCTAACCAAACTGTCTATCCTGTGA